TATTTCTTGTGATTGAACTTATTTGGATTAATTCTGATTGGAAGTTAAAATGTGTTAATTAGATCCTTCTCTCGATTAGGTCATTCGTCTTTGTTCCCCATGGAGGATGAGCGCTCTTTTGGAGATGATGAGTCAGGTGACCAGGGGCTTGCTGGCCTCGGTCCAGGCCACTGCTTTGCATCCCTTAATGGTGAACGTGTGGAGCGATATTCACGCAAGGTGTTTGTTGGAGGGCTGCCCCCAGACATAGATGAAGGTGAGTTATGTTAAACCTGAAGAGGGTCCTTGACTAACTGCAGTTTTTACAATAATGAAATATAAACAACTTTTTTGTGTTTTCACATGTTTTATGGCACTTCTAGATTTAAGTTATATATTTACAAGATATATTTCAGCTACTGTATCAATGGTGTCCTGTGGCATGGTAGTGATATGAAGTGCCATTTTAAATAGGTTTGCTGATGTGCTTGGTGACTAACTGTTCTTTTTTTGGTTTTTGTTTTCTAGATGAAATCACTGCCAGTTTCCGTCGGTTTGGTCATCTTTTCGTGGACTGGCCCCATAAGGCAGAAAGCAAGTCCTATTTTCCACCCAAAGGTGCATCAGAAAAGTTTAATTTGATATTTTGTGCCGTTCAGATTAAAAATTGTTATTTTCTGGTGAGCACTCATTGTTCCGAATGCCCAATATTTCCAGGATATGCATTCCTGCTGTTTCAAGATGAGAGCTCTGTTCAGGCCCTGATTGATGCCTGCATTCAGGAGGATGGCAAGCTTTACCTGTGTGTCTCCAGCCCCACCATCAAAGACAAACCGGTGAGTTTTAGCATTAAAGCTGCATCCACAGCAGAAGTGACTTGCAATCATGTGGATCGCACATGTGTCGATGCCAAACGTGCAGGACCTAACAATCTTTCCTCAACTTCCAGACTGAAGAATATAAGAAGAATATTACTGACTGGAATATTAACAGTAGTAAATACATTAGAGGGGTTAACTCTGCAATAAGAGCCTGCAAATGACCAGCCAGCAACTTCAAAGTTGTGAAACAAGCGAATCACTTCCAGCGTAGATGCAGTGGGCTTTTTTTTTTTTTTTTTGTGTCTATCCTCATTACAAATGTTTTGCATTCTGCTGTATGCTAAATGCAGCACACAAGAGGCTTCTTGTAAAAAGCCCCTGCCGCAACTGACAAGACTATTCAGACTGTTATAATCTATATTACATAAGCACCAAGGCCTTAAAATTATCAGTTCTAAATGTATCTTGGTCAGAAACGAGTAGGACACTGGGGAAATTATGTATTTTAAATTTTGTAGGTCCAGATCCGGCCCTGGAATTTAAATGATAGTGACTTTGTAATGGATGGTTCTCAGCCATTGGACCCAAGGAAGACTATCTTTGTAGGAGGTGTCCCTCGTCCCCTGCGTGCAGGTATACATTTGAAGTGACTAATAAATGTATCAAGCTTCTGAGATTCAAACTGTTAAAATCACTCTAAGTTTCATTGTTATTCCAGTTGAGCTTGCCATGATCATGGACCGTCTGTATGGGGGAGTGTGTTATGCTGGGATCGACACAGATCCTGAGCTGAAGTATCCAAAAGGGGCAGGGCGAGTGGCCTTCTCCAATCAGCAAAGCTACATTGCAGCCATTAGTGCCCGATTTGTTCAACTGCAGCACGGGGAGATTGATAAACGGGTGAGTTGATCCGATTCTAGTTCCATATTCATATCCTGAAAATGTAGATGGTATGTTTCAAAAATATAAATTTCCCACTTACCAGACATGTCGCATGAATTCTAATCGTTCTCAGACTCCATTTAACCACATTGTACACTCTCTCTCTCTCTCTCTCGTCCCAGGTGGAAGTGAAGCCATACGTCCTGGATGACCAGCTGTGCGATGAGTGCCAGGGCACTCGCTGCGGAGGGAAGTTTGCTCCTTTCTTCTGCGCCAATGTGACCTGTCTGCAGTACTACTGTGAGTACTGCTGGGCAGCAATCCACTCCCGGGCCGGCCGCGAGTTCCACAAGCCGCTGGTGAAGGAAGGAGGGGACCGACCACGACACATCTCCTTCCGCTGGAACTGAGACAAGAGACCTGGGAGGGACTGAGAGAAAGGGGTAGTTAAGGGCGGGGTATGGGCTATGATGAAAAATAAATGCACTTTTCTTTTAAGTTGAGAAAAAAAAAATGGTAATATTGATAATTTATTTTTATTTTTTTATTTTTTTTAAACTTGGGCCCACAAAAAGTAAATGCTAAGAAGAGTGAAATCCCATTTATGTTTTGACTTTGAGTGTGCATGAGCATATGGATGCATTAGATTTGGATTTGTGTTTCTTGTTGACTTGACTATATTTTTTTCCTCTTTTTTTCATGTTAGCTGGCAAAGCTGCTTACATTTGTTGATGAGAGTAACATAAAATTTAAGTGAGGTTCATCACACCTAAATCAGTATACTAACTATGGGAGTTTAGGAAGGGTGCATTTTCTTACTTTTTGCTTGCAGGATTAGAGAACAACTGTACAATTTACCAAAGGTTTAATGTAAATGGTTGAGGTGAACAGTGGTGGAACTCTGTTTCAGATGGATGGATGGATGATTGAGTTTTCCAAGCAGCTCAGCGTATAGCATCTGGCCACGTCACAAAAGACGAAAAAAAAAAAAAAAAAAAAAATCTCCCCCTCAGTTCAGTACACATGTTTAAGATTGTCAGCATGAGTTTTCAGGTCTTGGTTTAAAAGTCAACACTTTGTAACCAGAAAGGGCAAACCAAAGATTGGCCTAAACACATCACCTAAAACAGTCATTGATCTGAGGGTAATCAGGATAACGTTCTCATACAGTGGAGGAATGGCTGGAGTTTTGGTTTGTGAGTTTCAGCTAACAAAGACACAGCCCTCAGGGCTCAGGTATTGGCAGTAGTATTTACTCACTTTATATTGTCAGGGATATTAGCACTGGAAGCTAACATGCTAATGTAGTACAAACTAATGGGAATGCACAGTCCAGTCTCCCTGAGTTGTCCTCATGGTGTACCACTGCACGCTCTACCGTGACTGGAGCTTCTCTCACAAGTGTTGTGGTTGGATATGGTAGTAGCTAGAATTTGCTGTCACAGAGATAAAGATATTATTTTATACATGGCCTGCTGATTTTTGTACAGTGTTTTATAGCTGATTATTTTGTCATGAACATATATACATTTATTATGCACTACTTTTCTAAATATTTTTTTCAATAGTCATTTTAGGCACATTTTTCACAGATGGGAGAACTCCTTTTGCAATACCTCATTTTTTTCACTTGGTGAAAAATAATTTTGTACCTTTGTTACTAAGAGATCTGCATTTATGGTAAACTTAATTTAACAAAAAAAGAATGATATTAATATAATTTTCAATTAGCTTTTATATATTTAAGTGCTGGTAAATCTGAAAATTGTCTGGTGCATTGGTGTGATTCTGTAGATTTAAAAAAACAAAACAACAAAAAAATATAAAGCTATCATTAGCCAGTCATATATGGATTCTCCTCTGTCCTAATAAACATCATTACAGGATCCTAAGGCATGGCAAGACCTTTCTAAACTGATTTTGATAGTCTTGAAAATGCATATAATCTGATATTTTGCTCCTAGGTGTAGTCACTAAGATTATCATTAGGGTAAATGTTTTGGCTTTGATCAATGTGAAATCTTCCCTTCTATCACCAGAGTGGATATCAGCTGTTTGAATATTTAGATCCTCTTTCTGGGACTGCCTGTGAGTTCTACTTATTCTTGGCATGCATAAGAAATAAAATGACTAGTGATAATGCAGGACCTAATGTAATGCACTAGATCTCCTTTTTTTTCTCTTTGACTTTCTTTATTTCTCTTTGAGATTGCCTCTCTTGTAGCCTCTCTTTACATGATGGAGTCTGCCTTCCTTTACACAGACGTGATGTTTATGCAATCTACACGGTGACAACACTTTAGGTCTGTTTTTTGTAACATAGAGGACACTCAGTAGGACATAGGTGAGGAGACTTGATCACTTTGACCCCCTTTGTGATGTGGCATGCTTTGGGACATAACCTGAATGTGATTTAATGTTGCAAGTTAACTTTGAGCCATTATGTGCAATACTTATTCTTTCCAGAAACAGTTCTCCGCAGTGTAAGTCATTCAGTCCATATAAACCATGCAGTCATTTACACACCTTTGTTTCCTATTGTTCATGCTGATGTCTGCAAAAGGAAAAAAAATAATTTATACCTGAATTTATTTTTAAACATTAGTTTTGTGCTTATTAACATATTTTGCTACAACCATGCTACTGTGATTGAAAACATTGTATATACTAGGTCGATAATGTATTTACCGTTTGCTATATTTTCAGTTGAAATGAATTACTATCATTTTGATCAGTTTTTTCTTTCTTTTTGTCATATTTTTTTTTGGGGTGATGTGTTCAACTCGTTGACGTGTCTAGTTTTTCTAATTGCTGTATCTGTGCTCCACATTTTCACATGGGAAAAAATGATTATGTCTGTTAGTATTACTTGATTGCAAAATTTCAATAGTTTTTAATTAAATGATGGGAAGCTTATATTTATTAACTTTTTTTTTTTTTTTTACCTGATATCATTTTGATTTTTTTTTTTAAAGTCATTTCACATTTATATGTAAGTTCCAATTTTTATATTTTCTCGATTAATTTGCGCTACAATACAGACGTCAGTTTTTATAGTTGGTTTGTAGTACTGAAGTAAAACAAAGATCTAATGTCATATATTCATTTGCTGCCAACTGTTTGTAACTGTATGCATACATTTGAAGTATTTGTAATGTGAGATGTTGAACGAATAAAAAAAAAACGCTGTGAGGAAGAATCTGTCCAGTGTGTTAATGGGAAATTCTCTAAACTGGAACCATGCATATTGCCATTGTTGTGAGAGGGTTTTTTTTTTTTT